AACAGCACTACGCGTATCTAATGTTTCGGTGACAGCATTGATCTGTTGCAACACGTTAACAAAAGTTATAAATTTTTTCCTCACATCTTCTGCAGTTTGATAGAGCCGCGGATACACATAGCTTACACATGGCTCAAGCTTAAATAAAAATGCTACTGTATTCGGTTTGAAATACAGCGACTTAGTATCCATTGTCATCTTTACAATCGGCGAATCAAACATCTGACAAAATTCCACCGTGAATTCATCAATCCGCATCAATGATGATCCAGGCAATTGTGCACGTTCTTCGATGGTTGTACAGCTGTCGAATAGTGAGTTCCATGTATGCCATGGTATTATGAGATGATTCCCACGATTATCACCGAGAAGAATTTCTACATCGGCTGTAGGTCCTACGCTGATTCCAATTTCCAAATATTTGCTGCCCGTGGATGTTAATGCGTATCTTCTGACCATGACACGCGATGGTTGGCGCGGCCTAAAAAGCATAATCATGAAAATTACCTATGTTTCATGAAAAAAAAAAAAAATTATGAAAGGTTACCTGTTAAAAGTATTCTCCTTGCATGGAGATAAACCATCATCTTGCATGATTGGAACGTAATAACCCATGGCACTGGTACTACACATTGTTTTTTCAGAGCACTATTTATTCCGTCGAAATTCAGCGAGGCTACTGAGCGATTGATGGAATAGCGTCCGGGAGCCGGCTTAAATAGAGGTGCAATTGCTTCCCCCCCACCACATTTTATTCTAAAGCTAGCAATTTTTCCATAATGTTTTTTTTCAATCTTAACATCGCAGCATATCGCGCGATTGCATGTAATTTGAGCCCCACCTTCAAGGATAAAAGTCTCGACACGTGTTGAATGTAATATAATATCGGGGGAAGCGTCGAATCTTAGAATTATGCTGAATCTGCAGAAACTGCATAGAACCATGTTGGGAGGGATTGTCATTTTTGCATGCAATGCATTCGAGGGAAGGGAACACCGAAAGAGTTAGGCAAAGATACCAAATCGCTGTGCTGGTATAAAAACACGCTCTAAACTGCGCGTAGTCTCAAATAGTTGTAACACGTTGCATGGAAAATACGATACATTTACATTCCATTTTCAACCATGGAAGAATTCGCGAGAATAGAAGGTCAATTGTTGGATCGATCTTAACGATTGATTTCACGGGGAGAGTACCTCGCGTGGGAAGAACTGTGCAACGAGTGTATCGAATCTTTAGAAGAACACAGCCAAGTGAAACGCGCGCGATTATCGATCGGCGTTCAACAATCGTTGGTTGCTCGAATCGCGCGACTCGAAGGACTGAAACATACGTTGCGCGGCCGTTTGGTACGCGAAGGTGCTGGACATTCTAGCAGAGGACTTTTGTGGCGCGAAATAGACACTTCGTTTGATAATCGCGTATTAACTGGTGCAGTCCTAAATTCGAATTATATCGAACCGCGCAACTTCCTCCTGGATGCAGAGACCATTGTGATGGAGCATGTGCGAGACGCTTTGAAGAAACATAATCTTAAAGTGAACACAGTATTTAATGGTGAATTTGTAGCGTGTGACAAACGCGCGCGCAAAAGCATCAACACCAGAAACCGCGAACTCTTTCACGCATCTGATCTGCACGAGTGGTACCAACAATACATCACTGAACCCATCCTGGCATCACTGGAAGAATTCCAGGAACGTGACAGCGGATGGGCGCTGATACAAATCCTTAATTTGACGATTAACGTGAACAAGTATAATCCACTCCGCGCGGGGTGTCACTTCAAGCTGCCGCGAGAAATCATGCTGAAGAGGGCAACAATAAACATACAATCCTCAGACAACACATGTTTCGCGTGAGCAGTTGTCGCAACTCTACATCCAGCTAAAAAATATCCTGAATGTCCACGTTCATACCCGCAATATACATCGGTCCTAAATCTCCACGGCATTGAGTTCCCAATGTCCCTGAAGCAAATTGAAAAATTTGAGCTGCAGAACAACATCTCGATAAACGTCTACAGCTTCTCGATGGAGAAGAATGGACCAAAAGTCTTTCCACTGCGTCTCACCAGCCAAAAGAGGGATCAACATGCCAAGCTACTCTATACGCCGGAACAGGGAGGCAGCGATGTAGGACATTTTGTCTGGATCAAAGACTTATCCCGACTAGTGGGCCCGCAGTTGAGCAGACACAAAAGAAAAAAATACTTCTGTGACCGGTACGTATAGAAATTTATGAAATGTTCCCAATGAAAAAAAGATTGAATAAAAAAATTTTTTTTTGGTGTTGCAGATGTATGCACTATTTTGGCTCTGCCCAGAAGTTGGACACCCACACAATTGACTGCCGCGAGATAAACAACTGCGCCATCCTGTTGCCCAGCCAGGACAGTAAATGGCTCAGTTTCGACAATCGCGGTAGGAAGGAACGGCTCCCCTTCGTAATATATGCCGATCTGGAGTGTGTCCTGCAAAAAACGGTGGACACCCAAAAGGATGCGGAGAACCGCAAATTGTGCATGTACCAGAAACATGAGGTACATAGTATTGGTTATTATATACATTGCTCGTACGATGCATCGCTGTCGACGTATCGATGCCATCGCGACGCGGATTGCGTTTCATGGTTTGTCAAAGAGTTGAAAAATTTTGCAAATTTTGTTAAACCCATTCTGGCAAAGAACACACCCATGCTAGATTTAACAACTCAGCAGTTATCGGTATTTCGCAATTCGACACACTGTCATATTTGTGAAGAATCACTCGAGGCTACAGATATACGAGTCCGCGATCATTGCCATCTATCAGGGCAGTTTAGAGGCATAGCTCATTCAGAGTGCAATTTAAATTATAGAAAATGCGTTTATATCCCCATAGTTTTTCATAATTTATCCGGCTACGATTCCCATTTTATTATCGAAGAAATAGCTACAGCTTTCGAAGGCCACATTACTGTATTACCCATTACTAAAGAAAAGTATATTTCATTTACGAAAAATGTCGAAGATACGGATGAAGTATCAGACTCACGAAATTGTATTAAATTGCGATTCATCGATTCATACAAATTTTTAAATACCAGTCTCGACAAATTAGCATCTTTTCTTAGCACAGATAAATTAAAAATTTTACGATCTCAATTTGAAACATTATCCATCGAAGATTTCTATTTATTGACGCGGAAGGGTGTATTTCCATATGAATACCTTGATCGCGCGGACAAACTGCTGGATCCATGCTTACCGCCACGCGAGTCTTTCTACAGTTCATTAACGGGTGAGACTGTACCAGAGACCGATTACGCACACGCCGAGACAGTCTGGCAGCGTTTCGAGATTAGAACCTTGGGCGAATACAGCGATTTGTATTTGAAAACTGATGTCTTGTTATTGGCAGATATTTTTGAAAATTTTCGCGAAAGTTGTATCAAAAGCTACGGATTAGATTCAGCGCATTACTATACTCTACCTGGTTTCACATGGGATGCAATGCTAAAACATACCAAAATTACATTCGAATTGCTCACAGACATCGATATGGTCACGTTTATCGAACGCGGTATACGCGGGGGCTTAAGTCAATGTTCAGGAAGATACGCACAAGCCAATAACAAGTACATGCAATCCTACGACGCATCGGAACAGTCATCGTACTTGATGTACTTTGACGTACACAATTTGTATGGTTGGGCAATGTGCCAGCCCCTGCCATATGCAGATTTTCAATGGGTCAAAGAAGTTGAAAATTTTGATGTGTCTTCAATCGCTGCGATTCGCACACGGGATACATTCTCGAAGTAGATCTAGAATATCCGCAACGTCTGCATGATGCTCATGCCGATCTGCCGTTCTGTCCGACGCGTGCCAAACCATCTGGCAGCAGACAAGACAAATTACTCGCGAAGGTATACGATAAGCAGCGTTACGTTATACATTACCGCAACCTGCAACAGTGTACACAACACGATTTTCGTATTACAAAGATACATCGTATCCTACAATTCGCTCAATCCCCCTGGCTCCGCGATTACATCGAACTCAATACGCGGTTTAAAACAAACGCGAAAAACGATTTTGAAAAAAATTTGTATAAATTGATGAACAATGCAGTATTCGGTAAAACAATGGAAAATGTACGAAATCATGTGGATGTAAAACTTTTGACACGTTGGGAAGGGCGATATGGCGCCCAGGCAATGATCGCGAATCCGAATTTCCACATCAGAAGTGTTTTTTCGGAAAATTTAATAGCTGTTGAATTTCGAAAACTCGAAGTGAAATTCAACAAACCGATATACGTGGGCATGTGCACTTTGGACATATCCAAAATTTGTTTGTATGAATTTCACCACGAGTATATGTCTCCACTTTATGGCCAAAATTGTCAAATTCTATACACAGACACCGATAGCCTCATATATCACATTCATTGCGAGGATATCTACGAAACCATGAAGCGGAATATCGATAGGTTCGACACAAGCGATTATCCTATTGACAATGCATATAATATGCCGAATGTAAATAAGAAGGTCCCAGGGCTGATGAAGGACGAAAATAACGGTGCGATAATGACCGAATTCGTAGGTCTTAGATCGAAAATGTATGCACTCCGCGTAGATAGCAAAAAAGATACGAAAAAGGCGAAAGGCGTCAAGAGCAACGTCATAACTAGGACGATAACTTTCGACGACTACGCGGAGTGTTTGCACAAGGAGATCGAAATGGTTCGCAGGCAATCATGTATACGGTCGAAATTGCACAATGTGTACACCATTTCGGAAGCCAAAATCGCTCTAAGTCCACACGATGACAAGAGGTATATCGTACCCGATTCGACCGACACTCTGCCCTGGGGACATTATAGAATACCGTTGTAAATCGAAATTATTGTATTTATTAACTCCTTCTTACAAATAGTGGAATTATTGTGTAAAAAATAAAATTGCTCACATCAATATGTATCATTGTATTTATTGAATCATGTATTATTATGTTACAATACATTATTTTTATTTATCCAAGAATTGTGTGATTTATCAAACCCTAGCCACTTAACATATACCTTATCTCCCTTCCTACGCAACACTTTTTCCACTAGATGCACATCAGGATCGGTGACACGCTGCAGCTCGTGTTCGTAGAATCCTCCGGCAACAGGTTTTCCACACGAATCGAGGAGCAGATACGTTGCGGGATTAGTTGCCTGTACTTTGGCTATCTTGAACACCTCCGTTGACCAATTCGGCGTATAGCCTTTATCGAAGATGGTTTTAAATTTGCTCACGCGCACAAACTCGCCCAACTTGAATTTCGCTGGAGCAGCGATCTTTATGTTGTTGTATACGGTGGCAAGCAGCTTATCAGCGATCGCAGGGGTAACATCGCAAGGACACATTCCGATGGTTCTATGTTTTATTGCATTATACTCTGCAAGTAGACGCGGTAGCGCATCGATCCATTTATAGGTTCCATTGAGCGTAAACAGTTTCCACATATTATTCTTCAAGGTTCGATTGAAACGTTCAACGACGGAGGCCTTCATCACCGAATACATTGAATAATGATTAACCCATTTGCATCATCGCTCTACTTAAGCTTCCGCATTGAAACATCAGCGACGTTCAACTGACGACTGACTTGTATCACCACGCGCGGTCGATCGTATGTGCAGTAACGGGCATCGAAATTATTCATCGAGTTTATTAAGAATGTACTTTTAAACGATTGATACACAGTGTTATATCGCAAATATCGCATTTTACATTTTTTTACACAAAAGGAAAAACAAATATTTTTTTATAAAAAAAATAAATTTATTTAAGTTAAAATGAACATTTAAATAAATTAATTTCGTGAAATTCTTTAAAGTGGTCAATACATAATGCTTTATCACAACATCGCATTTAAAGACCGTCTCCCTTCGAATTGACTACTTAAGCATACAACGCATCGTTTTGAAGTTCTATTTCCCTTTACTGGAGTTGCAGGTATCCGTACAGGAAAATGCCTGCCAGTAAATCGCGTAATGGAATCATTGACAGATGCCTTATTTACATTTATGTTGGGTAAATATTATCAATAATTTCTTCAGCTAATAACTGTTTAAACACATGAAACGCTCGATCTTTCTTATGATTTTTAAAAATTACATAACTGTTCAGCAACATCATGTCAATAAAATAAAAAAATATTTTTTTATAGGCTTTTTTACATCTTCGCATAGTGTGAAATTTGCTTAACATCTGGTCGCCAACATCAACTCCACCCATATATTTATTGTAATCTATTACTGCGGTTGGTTTTAAACTCTTTTCTCCAGTATATCGGTTTCGTTCCCTGTTTCAGCAAAATGTAAATCGTGCATAGTAGTTAGCATAACGACATCTTTCTTGTCCTTCCACTTTATCGCCGCCATCTCTTTTGTACTAAATATAAACAGCTTCACCCTTTTGTAGTAGGTGTGATTTTAATTCTGGAGGCATTCCTTTTCTATTTATTCTTGCTGTTCCACATACATTTGTTTTCATATTATATAATTCTCGGTATAATGTTGGCGAACTGTACCAGTTATCAATGAATAAGCAATACCCCTTGTGCAATAATGACTTTCTTTTAACAATTGATTACAACATTCCTGCCAGCAGATCCTGTATCAGTTTTATCTTTTCCTGTATATATATTGAAATTATGTATGTATCACGATTGTGAATCACAGAGTTTATAAAACTTGACACCGAATCTCGCACGTTTTGTTCGAATAAATTGTATATAATGTAAACGACTTCTACATGACATTAGTGATTCATCAATGGAAATGTTTTTATTGGGGCATACATGCGAATGAAAGTTTTCTTTACAATTTCAGTAACTTCTCGAATTTTAGTCAGTGCGTCATTAGGATTATTGTACTGGACAAGTGTAAATTTTTTGAGATAGAAATAAATCGGTTACGGCTCATGATATTCTTAAAATACGGAGTTTCTATACTTTTATCTGTTGACCAATAGCTTTGAATCGTGGGCTTGGAAATCAGACTCATTAAAATATTTAAGGCAATAAATACTTTTAATTCGCCCTCTCAAGAGGTATAAACTCTGCGTCGCTTGCGCCATATAAATTTGTTTCAGTAATTATTTTTGTAATTAATTCATTGTTAAAAAATAGTTCAAAAACTCCCTTCTCGACAGACCCCGTGTATTTACGGTTGCACCACCCGCAATTGAAAAACGATGTATAATGGGAGTATGATTTTCGGCTTTCCACACAAACTCTCCATTTATACAACTGTCGCACTGTTCATTTTCGCTATCATCACTTGACGAAATCCTCCGGCAACGTTTTCTAGGACGTCGTACCTCAATACTTGAATCCGAATCAGGATACTCAAAATCCATGGGGCAACTAAAGTTAGATTATATTATAAAATAAGATTGTTTTCCAAACTTTCATTCTTAAATTTAAATATACTTACTCACAGCGGCAGTTTGAAAGATTTTCACAGAAAAAGTAAACTTTTTTAAAATACACTGATGTATATTGAACTGAAAGAACCTAAACGCTCTCGCAAGTGGTTAAACGTTGTCTGTCGCAATTGAAAGCTATTTCGCAACTGGTAAAAGAAAGCAACATAGGCTCGCGGAATATTCCGCGCTCGGTGATAGCTGACAGTCGTAGGCTCGCGAAATATTCCGCGCTTGGTGATAGTAAAACAGTCGCGGCTCGCGGAATATTCCGCGCTTGGTGATAGTAGACAGTCGCGGCTCGCGGAATATTCCGCGCTTGGATGCAAATGGGTTAATGTCATGCTTTGTCAGAGTTTCCTTGATCGGTTTGCAAATTTTTCGGATGTCGATCTCTAAATATCTTTGCAAACGCTTTAGTCACCTCAGCACCACCTTTAGTCTTGAGCGGGTACCGCCCATGCATACTTGCTCAGCACATCGATGACCGTGAGTATATAGTGATGACCTCGGTTGAATCGCGAGTATGGACGCATTTCTACAACGTCAGCTTGCCACAGATCATCGTATCCATGCACTATGACGTGTCTCCGCGGGAAATGTCTTCGAGCTGGAGCATGCAATTCCTCAACAAGTTGTCGCTTCTTGAGACTATGGCTTTCATTACTCTCGGATTTCGATATTGGTGCATGTTTGATCGCAGAGATGTCTTTGACACGAATGATGCGATAATTATCGTGTACATACATTATGTGCTCCCCATCGGCCGAGGAAATTCTGGTCAAGTTCAACCGTCTCGCATGATTTCCTTCGCATTGTCGCTGCGGATTCAATGCGCGTGATATCTCTTGAACGCTGTTTTGCAACGTCAACATATCTCTCTGACACACAGACCAGCTTCCTCTCCAATTCTTCATGCTGCTCTCTCAAAAGTTTAAAGCTCTTTTCCACATATAGTTTATTAACGTCATCGCTGTCAGCTGTCGGCTGAGCTACGCGTCGTATCTTGCGTGATTTTGCATCAAAGTCGGCACCTGCCACGCAAAGAGCATTGTCTCGCATATAATTTCGAAGCAAACCGCTCCATTTGTAATAGTCCATTCCAGCTGCTCCGCTCTTCTCGAGCGATACTCCAAATTTATTGATCGGCATCTCAACGCATACAGTGCACATCATCGGTGCGCGGTTTAATTTATAATGAGGCCTACCTCGCGGAGTTCCTCGATAATCGATAGAATTTCATGGTCATGCGAGTTGTTACCCGCCTGACGCGACGCTTCCAACAAACGGAGTCGATCCACCAGCTCGTTGGGATCGTCCCAGTGCACGTAATCGATCTTGTTATCATTTACCGTCATGACATGCGGAACCGGCAGGCCTTTCCCTGCCTTACTGGTAGATACACGGGGTAGTAGCGGCGCAATTACATGTTTATACTTGTATCCCTTGTTACCCATTATGGGATTTTGTGCGTTATGGCCACGTCTGTGAGCATTTGTTGTCAGTAGTATACTTTTGTATTTTTGCCTATCAGCATCTGTGTATATGGCGTCGTCGGGAATTCTCTTGAAAATAAGTTCATAAAGACCGGGAGTTCCTCCATATTTTACACCATCTATGATTATATTATCATCCTTGTCCATATCGAAAGCCTTGTCCCCAAGCATCGTTCCACTATTGTCAAAGTATACTCCATACACATGATCCATGATCGTATCCCTATCACCACTTAGGATGGCACGCATGTATTTTTGCCCCAACGGACCGAAATGATTGCGAAATGTTTGTTGCCCCTCGGATGTTTGGAGTTCATGCCTAATAGATGTTGCAAATGACTCATCGGCAGAAGTTTCGTAAACGTCTTCAGATTTGGTTGTGATCGATTGTATATCGGGAAATGTATTTATTAGTGTAGGCGGAACCGGGGAATCGTTTGACATGACATTCGGTTGTTTCTGCTTCGATTGAACTGGTGTGGAGGTTACGAGCGAATTTTCCGATGACGTGTATAATCGTTTTCTATTTCGCTTATGTGATGTGTTCCCTTTCGGTTGGATTTTTGGTTTATGTGTTAATGTTTCATTCCCTTCAACGTTCGTGCTCGTCAGCGATGGCGTGTCAGCTTTTGTCGCTGTTGTATTTTCCACAATATGTTTTAAAGGCTCAACAACAGGTTTAAAGTATCTCTCCAACGCGATATCTTCCTCCATCTTGCCAGTCTTCAAAGCCTGATGTTTCTTGCGAATGGAATCACTGGTTTTTGCAATTTCCTTCGCTATTCTCTCGCGATCCTTAATCTCCAGACTATCGATATCAATCATTGTGCCGCAGACGTTGCTATTCGACGTGTTAAATCCCTTTCTATAGGGTGTCCCGTAAATAGTGTAAAAACCGGAAATGGGGGGTAGCTGAGACAATCTGAACAACAATTTCCTTTGCAAAAATGTCGGATGGGGCTTCGTTTTTGAATTATTAACGAAAAACACTGACCAATCACGGCGCTCGCCTTCCGCGCGCTCAGGGCCGTCCGACCTCGGAGAGCCACCGCGCCGGGTAGGTAGCAAGATGCGCGTGAAGATACATCGAGGAACGAATACAAATAATTAAAAAATACTGCCACTGCAATTGTTACCTAATTCGTTAATTACTACGTAATTAGTACGTAAATTACTAAATCGAATTTATTAATTATTTGTATTCGCTGTTTCCAAGGAAGAAGGATAAAATCTCGGAATTTTAGGAAATTAACTCTTCGCACTCGAATGACGCTTCTCGCCAGCAGAGTGTTTTTAAAATTAAAATAAGAATTATCATCAGAAAATTAAAAGAAATACGGTAAGAACCATTTGTAACCGTTTGTTATTAAAAACTGTACTGGAAAAGCAGACTGGATTTCTGCGTACCGAACATTCCTCGAATGCAAAGGGTTAATAGA